CTAAGATATGTTCTGATCAATAAAGATGGCTTCATGCTTTCTGGCCTGGCACATCCACTCAGATGGAAAAACACTTCAAAAGGCTTAAGGCCACTTGTCTCTCTCCCTGGGGCACAAGCATTCGGTGATTCCAAGGGCACAGCTCCTCACACAAGAACAGGAGAGAGTGATAAGGCCTTGACTGCCCCTGACTCTCTCCCCTGCTCAGCACAGGGCAAAGCATCTAGACCCCAACTGCCATTGTCCTGATCTGGAATGACATGGAACTGGCAGTTTTGGCAGAACCTTCCTCCCTTGGGCTACTGGCAACATTCAGGGGCCAATGTAGGATTTTCCTGTGGACCCAAGGTCCAGGTGACAAGGAGCAGAGGCTGCAGCAGCCTCATGCCAGGAAACCACTCAACACTGGGCACAGACCAAGCAACACCACTGTGTCAAAAACTAGAGATGATTTTCCTCGAAAATCGTTCGGTAATGAAATGTGATAGGGTCTGCACACTGCCAGCTCTCCTCACAAAGATGCATGGGGACCAGGCGGTGAGTACAGCACAGAGCAACAGGCCAGCAGGGAGCAGCTCAGGAGGAATGGTGCCTGTTCTGCTGTGCACTGGCTCCAAGGGTTCCCTGCACCTCTCAGAGCTTCATATCCTTCCCTGGGATGGAAGACGGTGACCTCACTCCCCACACAGCAGCCCTCATGCACAGCACCCAGCAGGAAACCATGGATACATGGATACAGCAAGTGCTCTTCCAGAGGACTTCAGTGGAGGGCTGCAGCAGCAGGAAGCCACTAGGGGAAAGGCACCAAAGGGAATGTGTGTTGTAAACACTAAGGGTCTGACAGACAAAATTGTTGGCCCCTGTGATGAACAGAAAAGGCCCTAAGAAAATTAATCTGACCAGATAAAAGGCCTTCTGAGAGGAAATGCTTCCAAGCTCTTCCTAATAGCTAGCCTGGCCCCGTTGGGATTCTGGCATCGTCCTGTAGACTGCTTCTGTCCTATGAGCCGTGCTTCCAATTCTCTGGAGTTAATATCTGGGCCCGGTTTTGTTCGAAGAGTTCTAACATTTTCTCCAAGTTGTAGTCAGCCTCAATCACCTAGAAATGAAAATACACAGGTCATGGGGCTACACTGACCTGGGGAGGAGGAAGGAGCAGACAGGCCAAGGAAACCAGCTGGCAGAAAGGAAGATCAGAGCGACACCCAGCTGTAAGCTACAGGGCAGGCTGCACTCTCAAGTAAACTCTCACATAAGAATCCACGGCAGTGGTCCCTTCATGAATGCCTTTCTTTCGCTAAGATGGGGGGGGG